TTTTGCCTTGCCACACAACCAGGTCCGCTGCGTTGACCGTGGCGCGCAGCCTGAGAGCAATTCCGTCAACATGAACCTCGCTTTGTTGCATGACCGCGATGACGAAGACTATCCCCGACCCCTGAAGCGACAAAAGACCTCTCGTTCGAACGCGGAGAATGACTTGCCATATGATCGCTATACTATAGCTTGGGTTTGCGCGCTGTACATCGAGACGGCTGCAGCTCTGGCTATGCTGGACGAGAAGCATGCCGAACTACCGAGACGTCTTAACGATAATAATACCTATACGCTTGGCAGGATCAAGAATCACAACGTTGTTATCGCAAGCTTGCCTCAAGGTCAATACGGGAATATTAATGCTGCAAGCGTGTTAACAAACTTGAAGCGTACCTTTCCATCAATCCGGCATGGGTTGATGGTCGGTATCGGCGGTGCAGCACCTGCCAAAGAAGACATTCGCTTAGGCGATATTGTTGTGGGAACAAGAGTCATGCAATATGACCTTGGGAAGATTGTGAGTGGTGGTGGAATTCAGCGAACAGCCATCCCTAGGTTTCCTGAGCAATCTCTATGCACGGCTATAGCAAACCTGCGAGCCAATCATGAAACACACCCTACTCGGGTTATGGCCATCATCCAGGAAAGAATGCAGAGACACATGGACTACCACCGGCCTGGCGCACCTGACCGTCTATTTCAGGCATCATACGAACACGACCGGTCAATGGCAAATTGCGAAACCTGCGATTGGTCGCAGCTCGAGAGACGGGAGGCACGAAGATCTTGCGAGCCAAAGATCCATTATGGAGCAATCGCCTCCAGCAATCAGGTCATGAAGGATGCAGTTACCCGCGACCATCTCTCCAACGAACTGGACATTATATGCTTCGAGATGGAGGCTGCAGGGCTTATGGATGTCCTCCCCTGCCTTCCAATTCGAGGTATATGCGACTATTCAGATTCTCACAAAGCCAAGGACTGGCAGAAATATGCAGCAGCAGTGGCTGCCGCGTATGCAAGAGAATTCTTGGAGGCTCTACCAGCAACTAACGAGGCACCAAGAGACTCTCGGCCCAACACCCATTTTGGTATGCTGACCCCTTGACCTGCATCTACTTACGTAAAGGAAGCTAACTTGTTATTACAGCTGAGCAAACAAACCTTGTTAATCGTCGACAGCAGATAATGGAGTCTTTCGAGTTCGATCAAATCGATTCACGCAGGACCACAATCAAGACCGCCTATTCCAAGACTTGCAGCTGGTTCCTCAAACACCCTGACTACCTGGACTGGCTTGATCCAGAGAAGCGGCCACACCATCATGGTTTCCTTTGGATCCGAGGCAAGCCTGGTGCTGGTAAATCGATCATCATGAAGTTCATCTACACAAAACGGAAGAAGACAGACATCCCAATGAAAGCCATTATTATCTCGTTCTTTTTTAATGCTAGAGGAGATTTGCTAGAGAAGTCAGTATCGGGCATGTATCGATCTTTACTTCTACAGCTTCTCAAAGGCTTCCCCGATCTACAGGAAATCCTGGACGACCCTGATTTGATACCACGCAACCAGGTCACATGCCCGCCGTTGAACATCCTCAAAGACTTGTTCCGTACTGCAATCTCGTCTCTTGGGAAGCGAGCTCTTACCTGCTTTGTCGATGCGCTGGATGAGTGCGATGAGCAGCAAGTCAAGGACATGGTCGAGTTTTTTGAAGAAGTCGCGGAACAATGTGTGGAAGACAATGTGAGATTTCAGGTGTGCTTCTCGAGCCGCCATTACCCTTATATTGACGTCAAGTCGGGGATTCGATTGACGTTAGAAGGCCAAGACGGTCATAACGACGACTTGAAGCGCTATATCAGCAAACACCTGCGGATTCAAGATCCTTCCCTTGTGGATGAATTGACGCAGATGATGCTTGACAAGGCGGCCGGTGTCTTCCTCTGGGTTGCTCTGGTAGTGGACATTCTAAACGAAGAGAATCGCCATGGACGCATAGCACTTCGAACAAGGTTGCGAGAGGTGCCGAATGAATTGAGTGCACTTTTTCAAGATATCCTGACTCGAGATCAAGGCAACCTGGAAAGTCTATTACTCTCTATTCTGTGGATCCTGCTTGCAGAACGACCGTTGCAGCCTGGAGAGTATTATCATGCTCTTTGGTCTGGATTATCATTGAAACGGAAAGGAGATCGCGAGATGCCGCCTGTCAACACTTCAGATGCCAGCGACTGCTTCAATAAATGTGTCATCAGTTCTTCTAAAGGACTTGCTGAAATTACTAAAGCTAAGAAGCCTACAGTGCAGTTTATACATGAGTCTGTCCGTGACTTTCTTGTCAAGGACAAGGGTCTATATAAACTATGGCCAAATCTTGGGGCAGACTGGGAGAGTCAGGGCCACGAGGAGCTCAAGCTTTGTTGTAACGCCTACGTGTTTCACGAAACCATACGGAATGCACTTGACGAACAAGAGTCCACTGACGCAAAGGCCACAAAGGATGGT